AAGACTATGGAATATGAGCAGGAACTTTAGAAGTAAAGACACGTTGACAACACTGCTTGTGCCTACGCAGGAGCAGCGTACAGCTTTCCATTTCCCAGTGTCCTCCTCATTCTCCTTCTGCACAGCACTGTAGTTTGCTTTGTAGAGATATTTCTCTTCCTTGGTTAAGTTAGTTCCTAGATACTGCATTTTTGTGAAACATCTGTGAATGACATTGGTTTTAGAGTATCCCTCTATCATGTTCATTGTTGGTAATCACAAATGCCACTGAATTTCATGTGTTGCTCTTGTATTCTGCAACTTTGATGAAACTGGTGATTAATACTAAGAACTTTCAATGCATATTCTTGTGTCTTCTATATAAAGAATCATGTCATCTGCAAATAATAATTGTTGGGGCCCTTCCCTTGCCATGAGTCCCATTTATTACATTCTCTTTCTTGATGGCTGGGGGGATATTCCAAGTGCTCTGCTGAATGGCAGAGTGATAGTGGGCATCCTCGACTCACCTGTGGCTTAGCGTGCAGTTCAGATCAGCTTCCCCAGCAAGTCAGCTCTTCAAAATAGATGGAGAGCACAGACATTTCATGCAAAGCCCTGCTGAGAAGCTGCGCGGGTGCTAAGGCAGCTCTAGAGGACGCGCTCACTGTGCTCCACAGAAGCAGCAGGTTGGAGACACTGGCAAACAGAGAGGGTGCTGGTGTGGTGAATAGCAACAGAAAGCAGCAGGGAAAGTAAAGTGGCTGACACAGGAGAAGTTAAGGAACACAATTAGAGTAAGTAACCAACACACCTTGGTAACACTCTTGGGATGCTTGGCCTCAACTGTCCAATCAAGAGATACAAACTGGGAGACTGGATAAAAAAGATCAAACATTTTGCATTCAAGAAACTTACCTAGTCTAACCATAAATTCAGATTAAAAATTAAAACATAAAAAACAACATTCTACATACCAAAACCCTGAAAACAAGCAGGAGAAGCAATTCTTGAATCAGGCATGGTACATGTCAAGTTAAAACAGATTGAAAGAGACAAAGAAGGTCGCTACACTCTAGTTAATGGGACAGTTGAACAGAATGAGATCACAGTGATCAGTGTGAATGCACTGAATGTGGAGCATCCATCTCCATTAGGCAAAAACTGCCGAAATCCAAGACCAAAGACACATTACCACTGTCACAGTGAAGATCCGTAAGACCCTAGCTTTGCAGGGACAGACTGAATATGAAAAGCAGTAAACCAATTTTGAAGCTGAAACACATCCTTAAACACATGGGTTTAATACATATTAGCACAATCACCCATCCCTCTTCCTCAGAGGGTATCTTCTTGCAGCAGCATATATCGTACATTTTCCAAAATAGGCTACACGCTAGTCCACAAGCCTGCTGAGGTAAGTAGGAAAGAATTGAAATCGCACGCTTGCTAACCAGCCACTGCAGTCAGCATGGAAGCCTCTTCCGACTACAGCTTTTGCAGAGCTGAGTGCTCTGTGGTTCTATTTGAGTTACCTTTATATGTGAGTTTTGTTTTTCTCTGGCTACCCTTAAAATTCTGAATTTTGTCAATAACTGTGAATTTAACGAAGACATGCCTTGGCAAAACTTTTCTTTCATCATAGTTCTGTGGCCTTCTATACACATCACTTACTTGTACTTTAAAATCGCTTACATATTTGGGAAGTTTTCTTCCATAATTTATAGAAGTTTGTTGGAAAACACATGTGTGCCATCTTCTAGATCTTCTGTAACTCATTAGCCTTAGATTATTATAGAAATATAGATATGAGACAAAAGCCTCATGTCCCAAGGGAGCAGGGAGCACTAGGCAGAGCCCAGGCAGAGCTGCTGTCTGTCACTTGTAAATCCCGCAAGCTGGGATTCGAGGCTGCAGACAACAGCCTCTCCTTCTGGTGCCCTGTCCTTTGGTCCCTCGCTTGGGATGCTACCAGTTAGCATTAGTGTGGACCCAGAGTTAGGCAGATGGTGGAAGTCAGCAGAGAGAGTAGTTTGTGTTCACTAAAGTAGTTATGCACATTCTGTAGCCTGCCTTGAGCCCTCAACAAATGTGAGATGCTGCTGAGGCTCGGAGCTCCCTTGGAGAGAGGCGAATCTCAGCGAGGCCTCTGAGGCTACATTCACCGGTCTTCTCCTCCATTCTTTTGCACCAACCGTAACATACAACAGATTATTCTTCTTGGTGTCACCAAGTACTTGCTGGATAGGCTGCTCTTACTCCTCTCTCTCCTCTCTCTCTCTCTCTCTCTCTCTCTCTCTCTCTCTCTGACTTTTATCCTAGGTCACTATTTTGTCCCCAATATCAGATACTCTGTCTTCACATTGATCATTTTTTGGAGTGGATGGATGGCATACGGATTTTATTCACGTACTGCTTTCTGACATTTTTTTCTTTCAGAATTTCATATCCTTGTTGAAAATGTAAATTCAGATTTTAAACTGCCGTGGTTAGCTGGTCCAGTTTTAGTAATTCCTCTGTAGTTCACAGTGGCATATTGAGTGCATTTGCTCTAATCTGTTAGTTTGTTTCCTCTTTGAACTCATCTTTTTAAAAAATCTCTTCTATGAAGAGGTTTCGGCTATCTCATAATTGTTTTTTTTCTTCCATTGTGACCTGGGAGAAAACCTGCCCCGTCTTGTGGGTTACGGAGTGGGGCTAGAAGAAGCCTATTTCCATATTTCCTCATTCTTTGTCTCAAATCTTTATTTATTTATTTATTTGTATTTAATTGTATGTGTCCCTCTCTTTTTTCTCCGCTCCTTTTTGGTGCAAGAGTTTCTAGACAAGTAAGGCCACTTGTGACTATACGAAGCATCTTAGTAGCAGGCTGCCTCTCCACGAGCAGCTTTTACTCGAGGTCACTTTTAGTCTGTCCCTGTATATTCTCTTTGCTAAGAAATTGCTTCAGTTGATAAAAACATCCGCGGAATCAACCTTCATTTCTCTGTAACTGTTCTTGCAATTGCTCTCACATCCTTTGTCTCTTCTTTAAATGAAGGAGAGACCTAGATACCTATTAAGTCAGAACCAATGAAAGCATAAATATATGAGAGAGTCCATGTAATATACTCATGAAACCATAAAAGAACATAAAGTCACATTATTAAACAAGTCTAGAAGCATAAAAAATACTTAAAACATCTGCTGGGAATACAGACGATGTTTTCCAAAGAGCCACTGCACAGGAATTCCCACGTAGCTTCCTTGCTTGATGGCAGTCTGGGCGTTCACACCCAGGTACGCTATGGCCCCTCCACTGCACAGCCAGAGGTCACTCGGACTCCGCACCCCTCCTGCCAGGTTGCAGGCGTTCTTCAGAGTCTGGTCCAGCCTGAGGTCTCGGGCAGGGAGCGCTCTGTCCCTCTGCCTGGGTGTGATGGTGGGTTCCGCGGACATGTTCTCAGCCAATCTGTTGTCAACTAAGTCTGGATTAAAGCAGTGCAGTCAGTTCAAATGTGACACCAGTTCAGTGGTGTCTGTCAGGGCTAGCTGAGAAATACCACACTCGCGCCTCTGCTGTGGGTGTCCCGTTAGCAGTGGGAAAATGGTGCCCTGGAAGGCTCCCACCCTGCGTAAGCCAGGCTGAGTGTGTGTCTCTGCAGGCCTGGACTGCGATCTCCAGGCCTGCCTTTTAGCAGACTCAGTGCCATCTGCTGTCTGACGTCAGCAGTCTCCAGTGACTAACTGTCCTCCTTACTCAGAGACCTTGTCATTATGATGTCCCCAAGGGGCTGCTCTGAGACTGAAGCCCGGACTCCCAGCTCTTTCCCACAGTATCTTCCTGTGCGGCTATGTGGTGGGAGGTTGGACGGCAGATCCTCACTCTTCATTACCACTGCAGGTCACGCAGGCTCAGACATGCACGTCCTCCCTGCCGTCTCCCACTCCAGACTGACCCTTGTTCTGTGGGAGCCGAGCCGTGGTCACTCACTGCTCTGCCGTGCCGTCCCCTCTGCTCTGCGCTCCTCGCGGTAGTTCTGAGTCTGCTGCACGGCTCCTTCTCTGCTCAGCCATCTGGATGTCCACATCATCCTGCTCAGTGGTTTTCCTCAGCTGCTGTGCTGTGACTGTCTCTAGTCTGGCTCGTAAGTTCTCACATCTTGTCATCCACAGCAGATCTTTTCAGGCTTCTTCATATAACAGCTCCTCTAGCCAGTTGTGGAGAATCTCCTAGTCCACACTTTTGCCTTGTTCAGGACCAGTCAGATTATCCAACTTGAATTTCTGCTGACCCCTGTGTAAGGGGCAGATGAGAACAGGCCCAAGCGGGTGCAGTTGAGCTGAGGTGCGGAATTCACAGTTGTGGCTGGCCAGGGACCAGCCGCAGGTCAGAGCATTCCGATGGACACACAGACGCTGATGCTCTAAAATGAGACTAGGGAATGTGTTTCCACTCTTTCATTAGAAAAACAGCTTTAATGTTTTCATATTCAGTTGGCTTATGTGACTCATTCTATGAGTAATACATGCTTCAAAGCAGTAAAATATTTGACTCCATTTTGAAATATTTATTTTATGTCCTATATATGTGTTATGTGGAAAGTTATTAAAGTACTCAAGGAGTGGAATTTTTTACCTGTAAAGTAGTAATCCCTTCAAACACCAAAGGTGATAAAATTTCAGTATTCTGCTTCATGTAAATGTGACTTACAACCCTAAGCTAACTGGAGAAACATTTAGCTTCAAGCCAGGTCACTGTTGCATATTTGCCTTAGTACCCTACAATCTCTCAGACTCAGTGTGGACCTGTTCCTCCCACTTACCTGTGCTCATTTCCCGTGTGAGGTCAGCAGGTGAGCTGACCCGATGTCTCTCCCGTCTCATCAGGAGGCCCCACCACGCCTTCCACGCTCCCAGCACTGACTCTGTCCTCCCCTTGATCTCCTCCAGGGCAGCTCCAAGTGCAGGGACCGCAGTCTCCAGTCACCGCCCGGGTGGGAGAAGCGGCGGTGCTGCCCTGTCACCTCAGCCCACCCGCGGATGCTCGGAACATGGCGATCAGCTGGTACCGGGACGGCCGATCGGTGCTGGTGCACGAGTACAGGGACTCTCAGGACCGCACGGAGCAGCAGAGTCTTGAGTACCAGGGGAGGACGCAGCTCCTGAGGGAGAGCATCACCCAAGGCAAGGTGGCCCTGAGGATCCATCCCGTCATCCCTGGAGATGAAGGAGACTACAGCTGCGTCTTTGTAACACCCACAGAGCTCGGCCACGCACAGTTTGAGCTGCGTGTCTCAGGTAGGCATCCGATCAGGACTCAACTGGATGTGTGGAAGGTGTGGTTGAGTCAGTGCAAACACCATAATGAAATGCCAGGGTTTTGAGTTCAAATTCATCTAATAGGTTTTTACGGAGAGATTTATTTTTTAATATAAAAATATTCCTATCAGTTTTCTTTGCCAATATAATTGCTCAAGGGCAGGTTTGCTGTTATACCGAGAGTCTCAGAGCTCATCTCGGTCTGGGATTTCCTTCCCACCTGCTGGGCCCAGCAGGAGGTGCACAGGGACAGGAAGGACTTGGACAGCCTACATTCAAGATCCAGGTTTCTGCACCCCATTTCCCTCCATCCTGGATGTGCTTTTGCCTATCACGTGTGTTCCCACCCATTCTTCCTCTGTCACCCTGTGGACGCTAATTCCTGCAGAAGCCTGCAGTGAGACCTCCCCTCCGCCCCCGACATTGACAGCAGGTAAAAGCATCCCTGAGCAGATGGAAGGGTAAGGAAGAGCCGTAGTTCAGGCATGAACTTAGGTGGAATCAGGGCACTTTCCAGATGTCTCAGGGCCATCAGCTGAGCTCAGGGATGGGGTCCTCCTTGTCTTGCTTTAGAGGGCCTCAGCACACACCAAGCAAACCATGACTAGCTGCACAACCTGACCCTGGAGCTGCAGGCAGAGCTTGCTGTCCAGGTTCCCCACCTGCGTGTCTCCTCTGCCTCCCATTTCAACAGTCACTGAAAGCCGAAGCCTGCTGGTAGCATAGGCTTGCATCGTACCAACTCCAGCCAGACCACTGTGGCTGTTGTCTCAGTTACCTAATAAAGCAGCTGGTCATACAATTCTTATACATTTTAACAGTCTCCAGGATAGAGACTTGCTGGCAAGAGAAAACCCTAAAGTTCAAGTTCTTCCAGGTAGAACCTCCATGACTGGCTCCACAGGATCTCTGTGGACCAGGGCAGAGCTCAGCCCCTGCCTGGATTAGAAAGCCTCACCTTCCAGGAGGTGCCCTGGAGCCTGTCCTGCTGGTGCCCTCTGCAGGCAAAGCAGCAGCGTCTGCCAGGTGCCCTGGGGAAAGGAGCTGCCAGGCCAGGGGAGGCTGACTGTACTCCTCTCTCAAAAGCCTCTTGCCTTCTGGTGAGATTTTCTCCCCTCTGTGGGGACCTCTGTGTGACCCCGACACAACCCTTCCCAGGGGCTCTGCAACCATTCTCTAGGATTTGTGCAACTGTGTCTTGTAAACCTTTACTTATATAAAGAAGAAAACCTCACAGGTGGCTGTGAGCCTGAGCCTGGCTCCTCCCCTGTACCTCCTGGTGCACTCCTTCAGTCCTCTGCAGCAGCCTGACCTGTCCACCCCAGGCTGCTCTCTGGCACAGACGGACTCCACACTGGAGGAATCAGCCTCCCCTGGGCCCAACCTTATCCCACATACCCAGCAGCGCTGTCCTGCCTGCCCTGGCCTTGCTCTAACCCCAGCAATGAGTCCCTGCTCTGCTCTCATGGGTCCAAGAGGAGAGGTTTTCAGAAGCACCTTGCTGAGTTCCAGACAGGAGTAAAGAAGAGGTGATGAGGGTTCAACCTAGGCACATCAAGAATGAGATAAATGTTAACTAAGAGGAACCCAGTGTCAAGCTTTCAGTTGCCACAACTGACATCCAGCTGAAATGGCACACATCAGTCCCTCCCACCTCTCGTAAAGCTGGAGCCCGCTCACGTGCCAGCGCTGAGCTGGTTCTCTCATGCTCCATGAGCAGCGAGACACAGACAGACCTCGGTTTGCAGGCAGCCATCGCTCCTAAACCTGCTCACCATCCAGAGCGCTTGTGTGTCAAGCAAACTTCTGCTTAAGCAATAATGGAAACCCAGGTGAATTGTTCCACAACCCAAAAATAGTCCTATAAAGTTGACTCAGATACTGCAGTATAATTCAAAGATATGAATAAAAACACATTATCCTGCTCTGGAAAACCTGCAGGGCTATTGTCAGAGAAGAGAGAGGAGGGCTGTCCTGTAGGATGCCTTTCTCTGTCGTTAGTGGAGCCACCCTATGGGTTGGAATCTTTCTTCTTATGCAAGTTTAACAAAAGCCCCCCCCCCCCCCCCCCCCCCCCCCCCCCCCCCCCCCCCCCCCCCCCCCCGTGTGCTAGCACTTGCTGTGCCTGCACTGAGCACTTTGTGGATGTGTGACGCTGAGCCCGTCCTGGGCAGATTCCTTGCGCACGCTGCTGCAGGGCCTTCCTTGGGGGCTTCCTACAGAAGTCTGCACTGCTTTTCACATTTTGCACGTCCCTACTTTCGAGTGAAGTGAGTGGTTCCTCCTGCAGGGTTTCCTCCTCCTCCTCCTCTGCAGAGGACATGTCCTGTGTACTCTATTTCTGTGGGAGACAGTCACCTGTAATTCCAGGGAGAGAGAGAGACAGAGATGGGGTGGGGGGTCCCCACCCCGTCGGCTCAGTGGAGATCATGTGATGTTTGCCTCATGTACTCCCCTTATTGCCAGACATTGCATGATTATTACCTTAGAGTGCGTTAGCAATGTCCGGTCTTCCTGAACGTTCACAATTACAGTTTCTTGCCAACCTGAGCAACCTTTGCGGAGGTGACAGTGTGCAGCTTGACGACTGCTGGGGTGCTGTCGTCTTGACTCGTGAAGTTCTGCTTTGCTTCCAATTTTTTTTTACTATATTTTATTCTCTTTAAAAATAATAATAAGGAATGTAAACAAAGGAGAAAAACCAAAACCAAAACAATCTTTCTTTCTTCAAAACAATAGACATCTGCCACGCTAACTTTATTGTACTGTGAATTTGTTCCCTAGGACTCAAGGACTGTATTTGCAGGAGACAATTTTTTCAGTGTCCTTGAAATTCAAAATTGAAATGCTAAGCAACAACAAATGTGATCTGTGGAATCTTTCTTCCACAGTAACATCGGTTCTGTTTTTAGATTCTTTAGGAATTCAAGCTATTTTTAAATTTTTAAAAATTAAAATGGAAACACATTTTATTTTCCGTTCTCTCTTCCGACTCACGAGACAACGGTGTCCTGTGCCCTTCCAGCCTTCCTCCTCCAGGCACGCTCATCTCCGTGCACCTGACTCCCCGGGCTTCCCGGGAGAGCTGAGCCCCGTGAGCCCCCTCTCAGGAGCTAAGCTCTCTCCCCTGCGCCTCTGCCTTCCCTCATTTCTTTAGTCCTCCCGGTCCTGGAGGAGCAAAGGGAGGCCCAGGTCAGGAATCTGTTCCCCTGGAGATTTTACCTCTGCAGGGACCCAGAGTTCTGTTGCTGTCCCTCTCCTCACTGTTTCCCCTTCAAAGAACTCAGCTTTGGGCTGGAGAGATGGCTCAGTGGTCTAAAGCATCTACTTGGAGCTAGCTTGGCAAAGCATCAGGGACTGCGGTTCGATCCCCCAGCACCACATGCCAGCCAGCCCTGCCCCCTGGTGGGCTGAGCTGGCCACACACACACACCTCTCTCTCTCTCTCTCTCTCTCTCTCTCTCTCTCTCTCTCTCTCTCAAATAATAAAAAAAAATAAAATGATATTCATATAAAAAGAACTCAGCTTTGCAGCTTCACAGCTTGCTCCTGGCATCTTTCTAACTCATTTTTTAAAAAGGGTAGAACTTCAGAGAAAGGATCATTAGTAAGCACCAGCTGAAGGCCCGTCTCTCGTGCTTGTAAACTCAAAGGGAGCGTTCTTTTCCCTCCCCTGTCCCCTCCAGCCTCAGGTGCGCCTCCCCTCATTCACATCCGGCCCGTGCACACGCGGAGCATTACCCTGACCTGCGCGTCCTCGGGGTGGTACCCGGACCCTGAGCTCCAGTGGAGGGACCCACGAGGACGGCGTCTGTCACCTGACTCGGATGAGAGGAAATCTGTACTAGAAGACGGCCTGGTCCATGTGGAGAGCTCTGTGACGGTGGAGGAGAGCTCAAGGGCGGAGGTGTCCTGCTCCATCAGGAACCCGGTGCTCGGAGAGGAGAAGGAGGCGCGGCTCTTGGTGGCTGGTGAGTGCCCTCAGGGCCTCACTCTGGGGTTGGGGGTGGGGGGTCTGGGGGGGCGCGATGGCTCCGAAAGACAGACTGGAAGAGCGGCCCGGTGCACGTGCCAAGCTCTCCTTTGGAAGCTAGGTAAACATACCTGTTTTTCTAGTTTTTATTTTTTAACAGTAAGGCCTTACAATGCTTCCTAATAAATGCTGTCCTGGATAACAGAAACACAGAGTACGGCAGAGCATTTTGAGGAATGCGTTAAAGCTCATTCCAAGCTTGTCAAAACACCTTTACCAGGGAAGACCCCTGCACAACCCTGTGGACTCCATTTTTCCTGCTGTCACACCCAGTTGCAGTCCTGGCCCTGCCCCCTGCTGCCCTGTGACCCTGGACAAGCTCTGGCCTCCATCTGGGTGTCCCCTGCTAAGCAGCAATGACCCTGCTGTCCCTGTCCTCAGGCAGCCCTGAGCAGTGACTCCCTGGGGCATCCGAGGGCAGAGAGGAGCTGCCCACCGCAGGCCGCGCTGTGCCCCTCCCCAGCGGCTGCCCCAGGAGGCCAGCGTGGCTCTCAGGCTCCCATTCTGGGTCCTTTCCTCAGCCAGAGAGCAGCTGCGGGCCTGTGAGCCTGCTCCTGCCCTGAGCATCTGTCCCTCCCAGCCTGGCTCCGCCCCTTCCTTGCCTCTGCTCCCCTCTCCTGCTCCTCCCCACAGCCCGGAGGCCCATGGAGCTGCCTGCTGGGCCCCTCTGTGTCCTCACAGGAGCAGGTTGCCCTGCCCTGACCCCTGAGCCCTTTCCTGGGGCTGCACCCAGCTGGGCGCACTAACGGCCTCTCTGTGTGCCCTGTTTGTTCTGAGCTGTAGCTTTCTGTATCCCCGGGTGGAATATAAAGTATTGCAGGTATTGTGTTCTAATTCGTTGATATCTGCACTAGCTGGTAAAGTAATTAATGCCAAGTGTCCTTTATCTGGAGGAATTAGAAAAATGCTTTTGTGATTTAATTTGGTAACTCACATTAAACGTAGG